GCAAAGTGCCAGATTTAATGGATGTACACAAAATAGTGTTTAATTACTTCTGTGTCATCCATGAAGGTTCTGCAAGAGGGTTTTTTCTCTTGATGGAAAGAAAGAAGTGTTAGGTGGAGTCTTGCAGTTTGCAAATACTCTGATCTCTAGTCTAAAGAAACATTCAGGTTTTGTTTGCAATTAATTATGCTTTCAAAGGGAGAAAAGAAAGGGCTTGTGTCTACATCTCCAGGCACTGACAAGAGCCTCAGTTTTACCCCAAGTGCTAAATTCAAGCTAGAAAAAGAAATAAAGATCATTTATGAAGCCTTTGGGCCCAAACCAGTTCCATTCTCAGGGGAGAGCTCAGCTGAGCTTGTGGTAATCATGTATGAACAATGATCAGTTAGTAATTTAGGAGTAAATTAGGCAATTTAGGAGTGAGTTAGACACTCCCAGCTCATTCAGGTGTGATGGCAGTGAGGATGGAGGTGGCTTCTGCCCTTCCTTGCTGTTTATCTGCCTTGGTCATAAGGAGTTTCTTAGTTGTGGGCAGGAGCTCTCCTGTTCCCTGTCCCTGGTTGGGCCATGCATTTCCCTTGGAGCAGGAGGATTCCCAGGTCACCTCAGTGAAATAAGAGCCACAGTACCAGAAGGTGCTAATGATTTATTAGGAAGCTTTGGAGGTGTTTCTCCTCCACTTGCCTTGCTGCCAACACCAAGCTCTGTACAGCCACTGCGTGATGCCAGCAGGGAAAGCTTCATCTGCTGTCCCCTGAGCTTCCACCTACCCCTGTCATGTGAGGATCACCCAGTCATGTCCTTGCAGCACGGTCTCCTGCTGCTTCCACAGAGAGGCAAACCCAAAATTCCCAGGGCACGTGCCCAGGTGAGGGGAGATGGGGACGCTGCACCGGGCTGCAACCAGCGCTGTCTGTCACACCACGGAGAGGAGGTTATCATGCTGCAGGTGATGTCCCCAAGTCAGCTTCCTCCTGGGCGTCCTCCAGGACTACAGCATGTCCTTCTGGGGAGCCCTGGTGTCCTGCAGGCTGTCCCACTGGGAACCAGCATCAGCTTCCCAGATGCAGTGGCACATCCCATTGTCCATTGTCCGTGGCATCCTGCAGGCTATCCCCGAGGAATCCCACGTGTCCCTTCCGCAGGGCTTGGTGTCCAGCAAGACATCCCGGTGGGCACTATCACAGGGAACAGCGCTGTATCCTGGTGTCCCATCACTCCAGGAGACCGCGGGTACCGCTGCGCATCCCTCGGGGATGTCCAGCACTCTCCATCCCGCGGGTCCGCAGCA